AGTTAAAATATAAATATTGTGGCTTTCCAAGTTAACATGAATTGATACGACTGCGATTAAATCAGCATATACTTCTGCCAGGGGATGCCACCGCTCAAATTCTCTTGCCACCCCATGAATATTTGTCTAGATCCGCCCCTGGACACAGGTCATCAGGGATGAGTTTGATATGTATTTTTTATTAAAATGTTGAAAGATTGTTCTTCTGGTTTCCTGTATTGATTCATGACGTTTTATTTTGAAGGTAGGCTCTTCTGGTTTCCTGTATTGACGTTTTATTTTGAAGGTAAACTCTTCTGTTTCCGGTGTTTATTATTATTTATCGGTGAGTACCTCTCCCTCCGGTTCTCCAGCAGGTCCTCTCGGATCAGCGGGGCGTCGCGGAGCCTCTCATGCCTGGATCGGAGCCCTCAGGTCGGGGAGCGACGCTCAGCGAGGCCCGCGGGCCGGAGCTCCTTCATCCTCAGAGGACAGGTGAGACAGCCATCTTCAGGTGACGTCATGACGCAGGGGCACGTCGGCCTGACGTCACAGGGATTAGGATCGAGTGTAGAATGGGATGTTTGGGTAGAGATAAACACAGCGGACTGTATTTGTCCGTTGTTATTCATTTGATGTAATGTTTTAACACTTATATGTTTGTGAGGATGTAGAATAAATATGTCGTGGAATAAATGAAGGAATTAAAGGATCTTATTTATTAAATATATATATTTGGTATTGTTTAATTTATTCAAAGCTTTTATCTCTCATTGTTTTTGTTTTGTGTGATAAATTAAAATACCTAAATAAAAGAAACTCGTTTGCATTTTATTTTATTTTCGAAACAAATGAAAAATAGAATATATAACATTATAAAAAGTGCATTTATAAACATTTACAATCAAGTGGTTGTTTAAACCAATCAGAATACAGCATTTCAGGGGGGCGGGGCTTCAGTCTCAGTGATTTGACACATCAGCACAAACAAGGAGGCTCATGGGTAATGTAGTACTTAAACTGTGGCTCAGGACCAATCAGGCTCCGCCCACTTTAACAACTCTGAGCTCTGATTGGTCGACCGGTCCACTGGTCCACTGTCTCTCAAACACAAATGAAAGAAGTACATTCCCGTGTTTCCGCTCGTCTCCGTCAGAGATTTAATAAATAAAGCAACCTGATTGGTCCAAACCTCTCCAAACCTTTCATATCCGCTTTCAACATTAAAAAGAAACGCATAGAATCCAATCTTTAGGAAACTTTATTAACATCAGGTCTGACTTTTAGTCTCACTCCGCTCTCAGGTTGTTCTTCATTTCTGACATTTGACACAATCAATGCAGTTTAGAGTCTCCTAAATCTTCCAAACGCACCCAAAACACATCAGCATCAGTCAGAGTACAGATATGTCCACTTTCTGGGTAACACTGACATTTCTGATCCTGAAAAGGTCAGACATGAACTCAACACCGCTAAAAACACTTCATCCAAACCATCTGCAGCTGCTAATAAACAGAACCAACTTACTCTAACGGTGTAAATGTCCCACCAGCAGTCTCTCTGAGCTGGAGACCCTATCAGAACCCTTTGGGGTCTCAACATGTCGGGTTCAGGAACATCAGGACCCTCCAGTTTCACTTTGGGACTGGCAGAGAGTCTCCTCCGCCCTCAGGTTGTGTCCGAGGATCTTCAGTTCTTCATTTCTGACCTCCTGACCTCCTCACCTCCTGACCTTCTTCATTTCTGACCTCCTGACCTCCTGACCCAACAAATGTCCACTTTGAGTCTCCTGAAGCTTCAGAGCGGTGTCATGCGTAGCAGCACTTGTGCAGCGTGAGGTTTCGCTTGTCGGAGTATCTCTTCCCGCAGCGGTCGCAGATGAACTGCTTTCCCCCGGCGTGCACGTGGCTCAGGTGCGTGCGCAGGTGGCTGCCCTGGCTGAAGGCCTTCCTGCAGACAGAGCAGCTGGGAGGAGGGGGGAGGGAGGAGGGGGTCAGTTAGCTTTACACACAGACTCACAGTGACAGACATTAAGAGCAGAAACAAACATATTATAAAATGGCATTTAAAAACACTAATTTAAAGACCTGAGAGGGTCTCTAATTGAGAGCGTACCTGTAGGGCTTCTAATTGAGAGCGTACCTGTAGGGCTTCTAATTGAGAGCGTACCTGTAGAGCTTCTAATTGAGAGCGTACCTGTAGGGCTTCTAATTGAGAGCGTACCTGTAGGGCTTCTAATTGAGAGCGTACCTGTAGGGCTTCTAATTGAGAGCGTACCTGTAGGGCTTCTAATTGAGAGCGTACCTGTAGGGCTTCTAATTGAGAGCGTACCTGTAGGGCTTCTAATTGAGAGCGTACCTGTAGGGCTTCTAGTTGAGAGCGTACCTGTAGGGCTTCTAATTGAGAGCGTACCTGTAGAGCTTCTAATTGAGAGCGTACCTGTAGGGCTTCTAATTGAGAGCGTACCTGTAGGGCTTCTAATTGAGAGCATACCTGTAGAGCTTCTAATTGAGAGCGTACCTGTAGGGCTTCTAATTGAGAGCGTACCTGTAGGGCTTCTAATTGAGAGCGTACCTGTAGAGCTTCTAATTGAGAGCGTACCTGTAGGGCTTCTAATTGAGAGCGTACCTGTAGGGCTTCTAATTGAAGGCGTACCTGTAGGGCTTCTAATTGAGAGCGTACCTGTAGAGCTTCTAATTGAAGGCGTACCTGTAGGGCTTCTAATTGAGAGCGTACCTGTAGGGCTTCTAGTTGAGAGCATACCTGTAGGGCTTCTAATTGAGAGCGTACCTGTAGGGCTTCTAGTTGAGAGCATACCTGTAGGGCTTCTAATTGAGAGCGTACCTGTAGAGCTTCTAATTGAAGGCGTACCTGTAGGGCTTCTAATTGAGAGCGTACCTGTAGGGCTTCTAATTGAGAGCGTACCTGTAGAGCTTCTAATTGAGAGCGTACCTGTAGGGCTTCTAATTGAGAGCGTACCTGTAGGGCTTCTAATTGAGAGCGTACCTGTAGGGCTTCTAATTGAGAGCGTACCTGTAGGGCTTCTAATTGAGAGCGTACCTGTAGGGCTTCTAATTGAGAGCGTACCTGTAGGGCTTCTAATTGAAGGCGTACCTGTAGGGTTTCTAATTGAAGGCGTACCTGTAGGGCTTCTAGTTGAGAGCATACCTGTAGGGCTTCTAATTGAGAGCGTACCTGTAGGGCTTCTAGTTGAGAGCGTACCTGTAGGGCTTCTAATTGAGAGCGTACCTGTAGAGCTTCTAATTGAAGGCGTACCTGTAGGGCTTCTAATTGAGAGCGTACCTGTAGAGCTTCTAATTGAGAGCATACCTGTAGGGCTTCTAATTGAGAGCGTACCTGTAGGGCTTCTAATTGAGAGCGTACCTGTAGAGCTTCTAATTGAGAGCGTACCTGTAGGGCTTCTAATTGAGAGCGTACCTGTAGGGCTTCTAATTGAGAGCGTACCTGTAGAGCTTCTAATTGAGAGCGTACCTGTAGGGCTTCTAATTGAGAGCGTACCTGTAGGGCTTCTAATTGAGAGCGTACCTGTAGGGCTTCTAATTGAGAGCGTACCTGTAGGGCTTCTAATTGAAGGCGTACCTGTAGGGCTTCTAGTTGAGAGCGTACCTGTAGAGCTTCTAGTTGAGAGCGTACCTGTAGGGCTTCTAATTGAGAGCGTACCTGTAGGGCTTCTCCCCGCTGTGCACCCTCAGGTGAAGCTTCAGGCTGTTGTTGTTGTTGAAGGTCTTCTCGCAGCAGCTGCAGCTGAACGGCCTCTCGGAGGAGTGAGTCCTCTGGTGCTGCATCAGACTGCTCTGCTGGCTGAACGTCTTCTCACACAGGTCACAGCCGAACGGTTTCTCCCCGCTGTCAATCAGAGTCAGAGTCAGAGTCAGAGTCAGAGTCAGAATCAGAGTCAGAGTCAGAATCAGAATCAGAAACAGAATCAGAGTCAGAATCAGAATCAGAGTCAGAATCAGAGTCAGAATCAGAGTCAGAATCAGAATCAGAAACAGAATCAGAGTCAGAATCAGAATCAGAGTCAGAGTCAGAATCAGAGTCAGAGTCAGAGTCAGAGTCAGAATCAGAGTCAGAGTCAGAGTCAGAGTCAGAATCAGAGTCAGAATCAGAATCAGAGTCAGAGTCAGAATCAGAATCAGAGTCAGAATCAGAATCAGAGTCAGAGTCAGAGTCAGAATCAGAGTCAGAGTCAGAGTCAGAGTCAGAAACAGAGTCAGAGTCAGAGTCAGAATCAGAGTCAGAGTCAGAATCAGAGTCAGAATCAGAATCAGAGTCAGAGTCAGAATCAGAGTCAGAGTCAGAGTCAGAATCAGAATCAGAGTCAGATTCAGAGTCAGAGTCAGAATCAGAAACAGAGTCAGAGTCAGAATCAGAGTCAGAATCAGAAACAGAGTCAGAATCAGAGTCAGAGTCAGAAACAGAGTCAGAATCAGAATCAGAGTCAGAGTCAGAGTCAGAATCAGAGTCAGAGTCAGAGTCAGAATCAGAGTCAGAGTCAGAATCAGAGTCAGAATCAGAGTCAGAGTCAGAGTCAGAATCAGAGTCAGAGTCAGAGTCAGAATCAGAATCAGAGTCAGAATCAGAGTCAGAGTCAAGAATCAGAATCAGAGTCAGAGTCAGAGTCAGAATCAGAGTCAGAGTCAGAATCAGAGTCAGAGTCAGAATCAGAGTCAGAGTCAGAATCAGAATCAGAGTCAGAGTCAGAGTCAGAATCAGAGTCAGAGTCAGAGTCAGAATCAGAGTCAGAGTCAGAGTCAGAATCAGAGTCAGAATCAGAGTCAGAATCAGAGTCAGAGTCAGAATCAGAGTCAGAATCAGAGTCAGAAACAGAGTCAGAGTCAGAATCAGAATCAGAGTCAGAATCAGAAACAGAGTCAGAATCAGAGTCAGAGTCAGAGTCAGAATCAGAGTCAGAGTCAGAGTCAGAATCAGAGTCAGAATCAGAAACAGAGTCAGAATCAGAGTCAGAATCAGAGTCAGAGTCAGAGTCAGAATCAGAGTCAGAGTCAGAATCAGAATCAGAGTCAGAGTCAGAATCAGAATCAGAGTCAGAATCAGAGTCAGAATCAGAGTCAGAGTCAGAGTCAGAGTCAGAATCAGAGTCAGAGTCAGAATCAGAGTCAGAGTCAGAATCAGAATCAGAGTCAGAGTCAGAATCAGAGTCAGAATCAGAGTCAGAATCAGAGTCAGAGTCAGAATCAGAGTCAGAGTCAGAGTCAGAGTCAGAGTCAGAATCAGAATCAGAGTCAGAGTCAGAATCAGAGTCAGAATCAGAGTCAGAGTCAGAGTCAGAGTCAGAGTCAGAATCAGAGTCAGAATCAGAATCAGAGTCAGAGTCAGAATCAGAGTCAGAGTCAGAATCAGAGTCAGAATCAGAGTCAGAGTCAGAGTCAGAATCAGAGTCAGAGTCAGAGTCAGAGTCAGAGTCAGAATCAGAGTCAGAGTCAGAGTCAGAGTCAGAGTCAGAATCAGAGTCAGAGTCAGAGTCAGAGTCAGAATCAGAGTCAGAGTCAGAATCAGAGTCAGAGTCAGAGTCAGAATCAGAGTCAGAATCAGAGTCAGAGTCAGAGTCAGAGTCAGAATCAGAGTCAGAATCAGAGTCAGAGTCAGAATCAGAGTCAGAATCAGAGTCAGAATCAGAGTCAGAGTCAGAGTCAGAGTCAGAATCAGAGTCAGAATCAGAATCAGAGTCAGAGTCAGAATCAGAGTCAGAGTCAGAATCAGAGTCAGAGTCAGAGTCAGAATCAGAGTCAGAGTCAGAATCAGAGTCAGAGTCAGAGTCAGAATCAGAGTCAGAGTCAGAATCAGAGTCAGAGTCAGAATCAGAGTCAGAGTCAGAGTCAGAATCAGAGTCAGAATCAGAGTCAGAGTCAGAATCAGAGTCAGAATCAGAGTCAGAAACAGAGTCAGAGTCGGAATCAGAATCAGAGTCAGAGTCGGAGTCAGAACCTTCATCAGTCCCACAGAGGGGACGCTCACATTAGGCGCTTTCAAACCGGAGTACTTTTCCCAGTATAGTTCCGATAGTTCTTTTTTGCGTTCACACCAAAAAAATCCGGAACAAGAACCTTTCTCCCCTTTTCAGTCCCTGCTAGAGAGCAGGTACTTTCGTGGGAGAAAAAGGTTCCCATTTCTGATTGGCTGGGCGGATTGCAAAAAAAAAAAAGCATGCTGTTGAATTATTAAATGTAATATATGAATTCTGTTTATTTAATACTCTTATACTAATCACTTCCTGTATTCCCGTGATAAAAGGGACATGCGCAATAAAACGTGTCACTTCCGATTGAAGCACAGCTGATGGTGTATGTGTGTATTTATTCCTCTGTCACGTTAAACTATGTTCACGGTATTCCTGCCCTAAGATCATGGCATCGCTAACAGGTTATGGGCCCAGGAGGGACCATGGAAGCCGGTGGAACCGTTTGTGTTTCGACGGAGATGAGAAGAACTACGAGTTATGGGAGACAAAGTTTTTGGGTCACCTGCGACTGCTAGGATTGAAGGCTGCCATCCTAGAGGAGCCAGGTGTAGAGGATAAGGCTGATGATCAGAAAAACGAAGAAGCCTATGCGGAATTGATCCAGGTACTGGACGATAAAAGCCTTTCACTGATCATGGGAGAAGCAGCGGACAACGGAAGAAAAGCGTTACAAATATTGAGGGACCACTACGCTGGGAAAGGGAAACCACGGGTGATCAGCCTCTACACTGAACTAACGTCGCTGCAGAAAGCCGCTAATGAGAGCGTCACTGACTATATTATTCGTGCCGAAACGGCAATTACAGCACTGAGAAATGCTGAAGAGACTCTTAGCGACGGGCTGCTGATAGCCATGATTTTAAAGGGACTGCCAATCTGTTTCAGGCCGTTTGCCATCCACATTACACAAGGGGATGAGAAGCTAACTTTTGGTGAGTTCAAAACAAAGTTGAGGAGCTATGAAAGCACAGAAAAATACAATGCCAACTTGAGTGAGGAATCTGATAATATTATGAAAGCGAGTGGCTGGGTGAAGTGGAGAGATGGCCCCAATATCACCTGCTACAACTGCGGTCAGAAAGGACACTGGGCTCGTGAGTGTGGAAGTGCGAGTAGCAGCAACAGCAAAGACCAGAGACAGTGGTGCAGTTTTTGCAAAAATTCCACACATATAGATGCAAACTGCAGACGCAAAGAGAGAGACAATGCTAAACAAGCAACTGACGTTGAGGACCACTCATTTGTTTTTAAAGTACGTGACAGTCCAGTAACCGGAGTTACACATAAAGGGCTGATGGTCGACACCGGAGCAACGTCACACATAATAACGAACATCGACAAGTTTAAAAGGTTCGATGAGACTTTTCAACCGAAAGACCACTTTGTTGAATTGGCTGACGGGACAAGAACAAGTGGTGTCGCTTTGAAGAAAGGAGAGGCGGAGGTCTGCCTGCAAGACACGGAGGGACGACGAGTGACAGCGATGCTGAAGGACGCGCTCTATATACCGTCCTATCCACAAGACATTTTCTCTGTTAAAGCAGCGACAGCCAACGGAGCATCAGTGAACTTTCGTCAGGGTTGTAACCAGCTGATTCACCAGAGAGGTAACATATTTGACATCAAGGAATATGATAGACTTTATTTTGTAAACACTGTGGACTGTGAAGCTGAGGACGATGCATGTTATGGATGTTATGACATTCAAACATGGCATGAAATACTTGGTCACTGTAACTATGATGATGTGTCACAACTGGAAAAAGTCACTGAGGGGATGAAAATGAAGGGTGGGATTGATAAATCTAACCTTAACTGTGAAGTGTGTACTCGAGGTAAATTTGCTCAGAGTAGGAACAGACAACCAGATGCAAGAGCTCAATCTTGTGCACACTGATTTAGCAGGTCCCATTGAGCCAGAGGCTAAGGAGGGATTCAGATACACATTGGCTTTGACAGATGACTTTTCAGGGGCAGTATTTGTGTATTTCCTAAAAGCTAAAAGTGATACTTTCAAAGCCACAGAGAAATTCATTGCTGATGTCGCACCTTATGGTAAAATCAAATGTATAAGGTCTGATAACGGTACAGAATTCACCGGGACAAACTTTCAATCGCTCCTTAGACAACATGCAATACGACATGAAACTTCAGCACCTTACTCACCCCATCAAAATGGGACAGCTGAGAGAAACTGGAGAACACTTTTTGAAATGGCAAGATGCATGCTTCTTGAGAGCAATTTACCAAAGAAGCTATGGACATATGCCGTCATGACTGCAGCTGTAATACGTAACAGATGTTACAACAGACGTGTAGGACAGACGCCTTATTATATGCTGACAGGACGTAAGCCGAACCTCTCTAAATGAATATATTTGGATCTGTATGCTATGCATACAAGCAGGAAAAGAAAAAGTTAGACTCGAGGTGTGAGAAGGGTATTTTTGTAGGGTATGATAAAAACAGCCCAGCATACCTAGTCTACAACCCAGACACTGGTAGTGTTCGAAAACACAGGCAAGTGAAGTTTGTCACAAAAAGTATAGTCGAGCGACATACACAGACTGATTTTGAGGCAAGTGATGACGATTTTTATGAGAAAAGGTTTGTATCCACCAAGCCAGAAACCCAGGGGACTGACTCGTGTCCAAAAGAGACACAGGAGGCTCGAACTGAGACAGATGACACAAACACTCAGACAGGAAAGGGAGCAGAAGGTCAAAATAGAAGCTATCCCCAAAGAGAAAGGAGGAGACCTCAGTATTTAGAGGACTATGAATGTAAAGTACAGTGTGACGACCAGAAGTATGTAAATATTGACTACTGCTACAGAGTAATGTGTAATGTACCAAACACCTTT